GAGACATACGTTTTATTAAATTCATCGTGTTACGTATTTGTTGACATTAAGAGATATAAATATAAAGTTACTTCTTATATTATTTCAAATTAAAAATCGTTTTCTATTTTAAGAAAAAAGTTGAGTTGGATCTTAAGAAAGTTTGTCAAAAAATACAAAATATTATTTAGCTAAGAATAGGTACTTTTTTGGTACAAAATACAATGTGAATCTTTGTATAATATAATCAAAATTCTTTGAAAAATCGGTATTTTGCCTAAAAAATCAGTATATCGGTAGATTTGTAAAGATTAATATCAAAATAGGTAGATCTACCGATTAATCGGTAGCAATGGCATCACTGCTCTAAATCCTTTTAATTCGCGACGAAAGCGAGAGAAATTCCCACCAACGACCAGTACCACGCGCATCGATGTATCATCGATCGGCGGTGCGCAGCTGTTACTCAAAAAGATATGGGCCTAGGACAAGCAGTTCGAGCGCGTTTATTATTGATTAAAAATTATAAATAAAATAAAACTGATTAAGAAAAAATTGACTTCATTACAATACCCACGTCTTACAGGCTTAAAGTTACCCAGCTCTATCTACTTGTTAAAATTTTTCCAAAAGGACATTTTTTTAACTGAATCGATGTTCGTTCCAAAAAAACTGTCTGTTGTTACTTCTTTTAAAGCGAAAGCCAATATTTCGAACCAATGTATTAATTGACCGTACAGAACATTTCCCATCAGGCACTTCTTCGGAAAATACGATTTCATTGTTACATGTTGCGCACCTTCGTACATCTTATATAACTTGCCGGAACTTACTTAATATTAAAGAATTTACTTTTTTACTTTGGCTTACTTTTTTAGACATTATTTTCGCAAACTATTTGTCAGAATTTTTTGGTTTATTCAGTCTGCGAAATATTTAATGCTTCTGCAGCAATTTTATTGTACCTATTTCCAAGAGCCTCGCAAATAGAATTGTGTCTCTTAAAATAGCAAACTACGTTTAGAATTAAAGTTTTTGATTGATCACGAAATCATTTCACCATTTTGTTGAATAGTTATAAAAACTTTTGAAACATCAAAATATACAAATTCTTAATAAATTTACAAATTCAATATTATTTTGATAACTGCCACCTGACATAAATAACATGATGTACCTATTTAATCTTAATCTAGGACGTGCCCAAAACTAGCAACTTTTGTTCCATTCATTTTACATTTAACCAGAAATAAAGAAAGCGAATGGACTTAGGGTATTTCCGAGACTTTACTAAGAAGAATACCGCTACGTTATAACCATTATTTCTAATTTCAGATATATATTATCTATATATATTTCCTTCCCATAATCGTGCGTTGTTCTTATTGTGATTGGACCTTACCTATGTCCAAACTACCAGTCGTTATGTTTTTACCAATATTTTCCTTAGAATATTCATTTCTATGGTTGTTAATGTTTTTCTTAATGTTGATGTTTTGTGAAAACTTTTTCGATTACATTTTTATATTTTCATAAAAGTCAAAGTTAGTTTTTTGTCTGTCAAGGATTAGAAGTCATTGGGATCCAGGAATCTAAGAAGTTTCTAAGGAGTTTCAACTATTATACTTCAGTTTTTCCTATTTATATGTTCCTTAAATACTTGTGCTGTTTGTTTAGATCTTTATCTGGTTATTGTTTTCCCATTTATCATCACTCCTTTTGTCAAAATTCAAAAATGACCTTAATATGTTGTGATGGATGTTCTCAAAAGAGTGTGAAACTTGAAACTCCAGTAATAATTCGAATTTTAGTTCTATTCTATACCACCGTAGGTATATTCTAAGTGTTATTTCTTATGATGCCCAACTTTCTTCTAATGTGATTTTGAGTCAGGGATGTATTACTGTTACTTTAGAATTATGCTCGTCTTGCTCTTAAAATATTATGTGTGTGTACTTCATATAAAATTACCAAGAATAATAATTGAAGAGCGAGAACGTAAACTACTCTTGTTACACTCTTTTTAAATTGGTCAGCTCTAAATCTCTTTTTCTTCATCTTCTTCTTCTTCTTCTTCTTCTTCTTCTTCTTCTTCTTCTTCTTCTTCTTCTTCTTCTTCTTCTTCTTCTTCTTCTTCTTCTTCTTCTTCTTCTTCTTCTTCTTCTTCTTCTTCTTCTTCTTCTTCTTCTTCTTCTTCTTCTTCTTCTTCTTCTTCTTCTTCTTCTTCTTCTTCTTCTTCTTCTTCTTCTTCTTCTTCTTCTTCTTCTTCTTCTTCTTCTTCTTCTTCTTCTTCTTCTTCTTCTTCTTCTTCTTCTTCTTCTTCTTCTTCTTCTTCTTCTTCTTCTTCTTCTTCTTCTTCTTCTTCTTCTTCTTCTTCTTCTTCTTCTTCTTCTTCTTCTTCTTCTTCTTCTTTTTCTTTTTTTATGACTTCATTCGCTTTAAAATATAGATAAATTACTCTTTTTCCACTTATTTTTGTATTATTGAAATAACTAGCAAACTACAAAATTTTTCTTCTCATTTGGTCATGAAATCATGTCTGAGCTTACATTAGATCCTTGTGTTATAAACAAGGATTCCAAACGTAACTAGTTGTCTCAGACATGACATGATTCATATCTCTTTTTTTTGGTCGGTCATAGCCAACTGAGGAGAAAAATGTTGTGGCTCACACAATACTTCCTCTTCTTATCTCATTTACCGTTTAAGGAAGTTGTAGGAATATTAATTTTGAAATTAAAATACGAATTTTAAGAATATAACTAATTTTTGTTCACAGGAATTCCATTTCACCATGCATTGTTTGGTAGTTCCCCAAGCGAAATGTCCTTAAACGCTTTAAAACATTGCCGACGAAGAAAAGCAAGAACAGTTTTTAGTGATCCACAATTAACAGGTAACTAAGCATAAAATGTGTGTCATAATATATCTGCATTTAATGCCTAATTATAAGTTCTTTTTTAATGCGTTTGATACTTATTTCTATGGAATAATATATTCTGTTACGTTACAAGGTTGGAATGAAAATTCGATACGAGTGGAAGATTATATTCACGCTCGCTTACGTAAGCTCCTATTTCCATTCCAACAGATTAATAGACTATACTTTCTCCACGGCGACAGATACAGTAGGAGTTGAATATAGGTATAGTAAAACGAAACTTTGAACAAAATGAAATTTTTAATCAAACTTAGGTTAGGTTAGGTTAGGTTAGGTTAGGTTAGGTTAGGTTAGGTTAGGTTAGGTTAGGTTAGGTTAGGTTAGGTTAGGTTAGGTTAGGTTAGGTTAGGTTAGGTTAGGTTAGGTTAGGTTAGGTTAGGTTAGGTTAGGTTAGGTTAGGTTAGGTTAGGTTAGGTTAGGTTAGGTTAGGTTAGGTTAGGTTAGGTTAGGTTAGGTTAGGTTAGGTTAGGTTAGGTTAGGTTAGGTTAGGTTAGGTTAGGTTAGGTTAGGTTAGGTTAGGGTAGGTTAGGTTAGGTTAGGTTAGGTTAGGTTAGGTTGGGTTAGGTTAGGTTAGGTTAGGTTAGGTTAGGTTAGGTTAGGTTAGGTTAGGTTAGGTTAGGTTAGGTTAGGTTAGGTTAGGTTAGGTTAGGTTAGGTTAGGTTAGGTTAGGTTAGGTTAGGTTAGGTTAGGTTAGGTTAGGTTAGGTTAGGTTAGGTTAGGTTAGGTTAGGTTAGGTTAGGTTAATCAAACTTATGTTAGGCAAGTTTGTATTTAAATTATATTTGCATAATTTGTTAGTTCAGTGGGAATGTTATCAAATTCCATATAATAATTATTATATTCACCAATTTTTAAATTTAAGTTCGCCTTAACAATCGCCGCTTATCTTTATTTAGGCAAAATCAATTTAAATACTAATACCACAGTTTATAGCCAAAGAATCAGTCAGCTCACTCGGGCCAATTGGATGTTCCAAAATAACATCCACTACAAAGATGCAAATTCAGGATGCGCAGAAGACTGCTGTTCGAATATAGGCGGTTATCATATTAGGTTCTTTCGTTCGTTGTTGATGCAGTATCCACCAGTGTAAATTACACCAGTTACACCACATTTATTTACCTAGGGTGAGATTACTGAACGTCTGCAACTTTGCAGATCTGCAAATATGGCGGCAACTTTGAAAATCTGCAAATATGACTGACTTACACATGCAAGTATCAAGTTTTCGTATTCCAAATTTGGGTTTAGTGTTGTTGGGGGTAATAAACCACAATAAATATTGCGAATTTGTAGATATTTTTTGGAATACTTGCATTTGTAAGTCCGCCATATTTGCAGATCTGCAAAGTTGCAGACGTTCTGTAATCTCACCCCTAGTTTACTTCCTCCTTATTCCTGATACTCATGTAGAGTGTAATTCACTCCTGTTAAATAGCTGATGGCGAAAATATCAGTGGACACCACATCGCCGACAGGAAAATGTAGTGGATTTTACGCCGGGCCAAACGAAAGGTTTGGTGTGCGTTGGTGTAGTTCATTCCTACACCAGTGGGACGAACAAAAGAACCTATTGTATTGGTTATAGTAAGAGAGCCCACTGCAAATTTCTACCGTAATCTGATAACGAAATGAAATACAACATTGTACTTTACCAAATTGCACCTTTGCCAATCTCTATCATGAGCAAAGTGGTTAAAAAAAAATATTTTATATTTAAAAAATCACATAAGATATGACCTTTTAAACCATGTGTATGTGTGAAAGGTTTATCGTTTCTATGGCAACCTGTAAAAATGAATCACAACAATAGGCAAACAAATAAATTTTTAAATCAGCAAAAAAATTGATTCATATTTTTAATGATTTTTACCTACTAATCGTGAATAGATGTTTTTGTGCGATGTTAAGGAGAAGAAAATGTTATTAAGATATATTTGAATATGTTATTTTCTGGAAAACTTTAAGGGCAAACAAAATTAGCGCTGTCATGCCTTTTTTTTAACCGCTTTGCTTAAGATTGGTATTGACACAGGTGCCATTTTGTAAAGTAGAATGTTTTTACATGCTTTTGGGGTATATTTTATTTCGTTATCAGATGACGATAAAAATTTGCAGTGTGCTCTCGGGCTATTATGATTTGATTCTGTATGCGCTAGGGATGCAAATCCGAGTTGCGCAATGTATAAACGTGAACATTCAGATCAAAAGTGCCGAGGCAAAATAATGAGCGAACTGATTATTTGGCTATAAACTGTGCTAACACGTCGCGTAAAACTGTCATGAAATTCATGACTATCTACGATGCGTACGTGGTATTCACAGCCATTGGCCAGTAGCTATTACTTAATGAACATTCTAACTCTAGAGTTAGAAATACGTGTAAAATACATAAGTGTTTCAGAATTTTCTTTCAATCTCAAGAGCAAGAATGTTTTCTTTCTGTTGTTATTATTATAAGTAGTTTCGAAAGAATTACATTCAGTAGTGGCCGTGGAGAAAAAAAATATATCACTGTTTTTGAATGATTGATTGAATGATTGCTACAAATATCATCGAGTCAATGAATTTATCATAAATTGAAGCTGTGAAAACAAGTTATTCTAATGCACATTAAATATATCATCACTTAATATACTATTGATATAGGTTTGGAAAAGCGATTTTCTGCTCAACGATATTTATCAACCCCTGAACGAGTAGAACTGGCCAGTGCATTAAGTCTTAGCGAAACTCAGGTGAAAACGTGGTTTCAAAATCGAAGAATGAAACACAAAAAACAGTTAAGGAAAGTACAAGAAGACAAAACCGGATCTGGAAAAGTAGGAGCTTCAGAAAAATTAGGTAAGTAATTAATACCATCTTTACGAATTATTTTAGTACTTCTGTAAATATTGTTCTGTTCACAATCAGAAGTAATAGTTAAAAAGTAAGCCTTTACTAATGTTAAAAATATTGGATAAACTAAGTACGGCGCTGTAAAAATTCCAAACACGCGCTACATTTCATTATTATAAAAAATATATATCTCACGGACCAAAGTAAAAATATTGACCACATATTCAAAGTAGTCATTTCTAAAAATATATTCCACTGAACTGTAACTGTTGTAACAGTATAGAGTTCAGTGATATATCCCAAGTTTGCTCGGAGTTCCAAGTGACACTGAATCGGTTTCCATCAAAATGGCGTCCAAAATGGACGCGACCCCCTTAGATATACCAGCCCTGCTTAAATACTTATTATTTTGACAATGACAGGAAATAAAAAATTACTGCCGTTACCTGCTTTTCTTATCAACAAAACTTCAATCAAATCAAATGGCAATTAAATTAAATAGAATGGAAGGGGAAGAGTAAAAAGTGCGAAAAGAGAAAGGCAAGCGACTCCCAACTTTATTAATTTTGTTTCTAAGTAGAGAAGATCCTCGATCTTACCCGCCATCTTACTACGTAATTTAGTTCATTAACTTGTGAACTTGCCTTAATTGATGTTTAAGATTGGGGACGAGTTCTGAAGGAGCCGACGTTCGATTTTCAGGTTTACGGTCCATTAAAGTTGAAGGAAGTATAACAAAATAAGATTTCCTAAGGGCAGTAGTACTATAGGGTGATTCCTAAGAAAACGAACAGGATTATGGTTGTCTTTACAGGCACAATAAATTTGGTCAAATTAACTTTGTTTTTTTTTGAATGAAATAATAGATACTAATTATAATTTTTGCTCACGATTGATGCAGAAATATATTTAAAAAAACCATATAAATCATATATTTTAATTAAAGACTTCTTAAAATTAAAGCATTTAATACATATAACCTCAAACTTGATAACTTGACTATTTAATGTTACTTTAATGACTGAATTTTTAAAAATTACAATGAAACGAATGACTTATAGTAAATCACTGCAAGAAACATTTCCTGAACATGTAACAAACCACAAAGTTTAATTTAATTTAATTTTTTTTTTTAAATATGGACCAAATAAAAATGCTATTAATTATCGATTCTACACAAAAATAGCTCATTTTAATGTATATATTTAATCTCAATAACTAAAAAATATACTGCCAATTAGTTTGAGAATTGTCACTTATTTCAAATTTTAAAAATAATAGTAGTTGGGTGTCCAAAATATGAACTGTGAATGGTGGATTTAATTTTTTTGCAGTCTTCTCACTACCTAGAATGTATATAAAATATATTCGTTCAGTTGAACGCAATAGCATACTTTGTCGTTTTGTTGTATGTGCGTAGATAAGCTAATATCCATGTGTAATTATGAATGCATATACAATAATTATAATTCTTTAAGCAAGTGAAAACATACATTATTAATATTTTTTTATATTTTAGATAACTACGTGTGTTCCTTCAAATAACTCAAATTATATAATATGACTTTTTTCTCTACAATTTTCCAAATATTTTTTATAAAATCTTTGATTGGAAGTACAAAAAATTATTAGTTGGTCATTTTTTACCAAAGACAATTTCATAATTTAGTCAAAATTAGAAAATCTTGCATGTAACACGTTACTAAGTTACTACGTTAATAAGGCATTTTGTAACTTGTTGCATGAATAGCTAGGTAAGTGTCTTTGTATGGGCAAATAACAGTATGACAAATGCACCAGACATAACTTTAGTTGGAATAAAAATTACCTGTCAAAAAATTAATAATCAAATTTTGTGACTTGCAGCCCCGGTCTCTCCTACTCTACTTTCTAATGGTACAAAAAATATTTTTCTACACTTACATGGATATTAGCTTATCTACACATAGACTACAAAACGAAAAAGTATGCCATTGCATTAATCTGAACGAATATATTTCATATCCATTCTACCTAATAAGAACACTGCAAACAGTTCATATTTTGGTCACCCGGCTACTATTATTTTTAAATTTTAAATAAGTGACAATTTTATCAAACTAATTATCAGTATATTTTATAGTTATTGAGTTAAATATACGTAAAAATGAGTTATTCTTGTATAGAAACGATATTTTTATTTCGTCCACATTTACAAATAAATCATAAAATTTAATCAAACTATATGAAATTAATTTAATTACGAGTATTAAAACTAAAATATTAGGAGTGTCGAAAGTGTCAAAAAATCATAAATTATTTTAAAATTTGTTATTTTGTCTTAATAACCTAAAATATTTTTTTAAATTTGTATATTTTCGTTAGTGGGTTGTAGAAAAAATATACTGTACAACTCGAATGAATTGTCCTTGTCCATTTTTTTGCTCAAACTACTATTGAAATTCGTATCAGTTTGAAAAATGTATTTGAGGCATTTAAAGCTTTAAACTCTATTATTACTGTAGTTTGCAACAGTGCTGGTCAACCCCCAAAACCTAAATGCGGCCCAAAAATCTAGAAAAAAAAAACACTAAGAAAATTGATATTCACATGAAAACCCCACATGAGACTTTTGTTGAAGAACTCATCTCCAAAAAACTGATTTTTGAGTTGCAATATGTCGAAAAAGATTAGTCATTTTTTTAAGGTACTCTTACTGCTGGACGATATCGCAATGAGATACTCGATCCACTTATAATTAATCAACTGGATGTTGAGGAATTAAAAATTACAACAAGATGGTGCGACAGCACATACGACCAGAGAAAGACTTCAATGTCTTGGAGAATTTTTTGAAGACAGAATAATAAGCAGAAACACTGAAATCCCATATATAACTAGATCATGCGATTTAAACATATGTTTTTTTCGTGTTGGGCCATACATCAAAAATTTGATTTTTTCAACGCCAATTCATAATCTGGAAGAATTGAGAAATCACAAAGAGATTTCTGGTTTATTTTTTATTTAAATAACCAATTATAAAAAGTATCTACAATTCCAATAAGTCTAATTCAGGGCACTATATATAGCTAATACAATTTTAATGAGTTCCCAACGGGATTGTTAGAGGAAACCCGACCTTCGGCTTTAGTGGTTGGGTTATGCTATTCTTTCTGCTGTCAACGACACGCGTTGCAATAAGAGGATTTTTCACCATAATTATTTTTCGTCATGATTAACCTGAAATACGACACCAGCTTTTTCGAATTTTATTTGGAACGGTCTTAAACGATTCTTAAAAACCTCTTAAATATATACCATATTAAGCCGGTGTTCATTGTCCGTTTATAAATAAATACTTTGTTGGATATTATTACATCTAAATTTTAGGTTCTCTTTTATTCATCATTTCAGTATTGTTCTATATCTGGTACGGTACGGATCGGTTTTGCGGGTATAGTGCGATAAATAAAAGTGCGCACTTTTTGTTTCTCTTGATAATTGATAAGTGATAGGTATAAGTATTAAATTAAATTTTATTCTGAACAGAACAACATTTCGGTAAGTTTATTCTGTTATTATGATTAGTGAAGAGGGCGACCCTTCGGGGCCGCCCACAAGTACTACTACCACTCTCGTAGAAGAAGAAAAAATATCACAAACGCAAAATATTTATGATTTAACCAATAGATACAGATCTACGGATTCAGGCCCTTATTTGGTTTATATGGAACACATTGATAAGAATTTGGGAAGACTTTTTCCTATGAAAGTGGGGTATTTTTTGCAAGAATGTCCCTCTTTTAAAAATGATATATTAAATCTATAGGCTTAAAACGCGTAAAGGTGGAATTTAAATCATTTGATATTGCTAACTCATTAGTTGACCATGAGATTATGAAAAAAAACAATTTAGTTGCCTTTATTCCAAAGTTTTACACACAGAAAAAGGGTATCATCCGGATGGTTGATACCTTTTTCAGTGAAGAGTTTTTGAAAAAAAGAAATTATTTCTGAAATACCGATAGTTGAAGTCAAACGTATGAAAAGAAGAGCTACGGATCCCGAAACTAAGCAAGTATCCTTTGTCGATAGACAAATGGTAATTGTCACATTTCTGGGCAATAAAATTCCGGATACACTTAAAATTAATTTAGTTAGATTTACGGTCGACCCTTATGTTCATCCAGTAATACAATGCTTCAAGTGTTTGCGCTATGGCCACACCTCTGTTCAATGCAGAGGAAAACCGCGATGTAAAACGTGTGGAAACGAACATAATAATGATGAAGAATGCGAAAAATTTTGTATTCACTGTAATAGTAATGAACATACGTCAGTATCTAAAGAATGTTCCATCTATATTAAACAACAAAATATTAAAAAAACTATGGCCTTTGAAAATATTTCCTTTAAAGAAGCAGAATTTGTTGTAGAAAATCCATCATACGCAAAAATTTCTACTAATAATAGGTTCGATGTACTAAAAAATTTAGAAAATTTTCCTGAACTTGCTCCACCCTCTCAAAGTAATTCTCAAAGCTCATTTTTACTTAAAAAACCCAAAGCTAGTCCTATTTATCAAAAAAATGAGTCACAAATTAGGAAAAGAAAACATATTACTCCACCTACTTCCCCGTCAACGTCTAGCAGGCCTTCAGTACTGCCTCCGGCGTCTCAAACCCCAAAACGTCGCCCACCCCTCTCATATTCCCCTTGTGTTAAGGATATTATAGTACATCAAAATCAAATAATCTCTCAAATTTCTTCATTTATTTTTAAAATTTTAAAAGAACCAAATACAATTGATGAAAATAAAATCAAAGAACAACTTGTTACAATTTTAACTTCTAAAGAAGATGTAGGTATGGAATGTATATCAATCAGTGATGAAGAATATTATTAAAATTATTCAATGGAATGTGCGATCCCTTTCAGCTAGGAAAGGAAACTTACAAAATTATTTAAGTAACAATAAAATAGATATACTTATTTTATCCGAAATATGGTTAACACCACAAAGT